GGCGGCTGCTGTGGCAGCGGGCGGGCGATACCCCACAGCACGCAGGGGACAGCGGTGGACGGGGAAAGAGGAACGCCAACACCGCCCCGTGCCCCCCGCTCCCGCCGCGGGGGTCGGGGAAAGAGGATCTGTCTCACCTGAAGCGTAAAAGGGTTTTTTTGGGCGGCACGCAAGGGGGGCTTGGGCATCCCCCGGAGTGATGCCTGGGGAGTGACACTGGTGGGGGACCCCCGATGTTCCCAGTTCCCAACTGCCACCTTTGTGCTGTGAGACCGCAAGGAGCAAAGGAGTAGCCGGGGGGGGGGGGGGGGGGCTGGTGCACACGCCATTTTTTAATGCTGTTTTTTGCTCTTAAGTGTGTGTTTGGTCACCAATGCCCAGGTAAATGCCATCCCGTGCAGCCGCCCGGTGTGGGTGACGGTGAGCGGGTGACAGCTCCCCAAGGAAGGGTTGGATCTGTAACCGTGAGTGGGGTCTGTCTCTGCTGGGGAGCCACAGATGGATGGATGGATGGATGGATGGATGGATGGACGGATGGACAAATGGATGGGCAGATGGACACAGGGATGGACAGATGGATGGACAGACACACGGATGCACGAACAGACGGATGGCCAGACGGATGGATGAAATGATGGATGGACAGACAGGCAGCACGGTCACACTGCACCCACACTCCACCGGAGGCCACCTAGCCGTGCCCCCCTCCCCGCTGCACCCCCCGGGTGATGCTGTGCCCCCCTGTGTCACCCCAGGCACGGACGCCCTGCCGGGGCCGAGGGGTGGGATACGCCAGGAGTTTGGCAGGGACGGGGGGCACTGCCGTGGGGGGAGCAGGCAGCACCGAGGGCCGGCCGTAGGCCATCACCGCTGCATCTGGGCGCCCGTCTGCAGAGCAGAGATAGCCCCACCGGCCGCCCCTCCTGCATGGGGCGGGGGATGCTCCATTAGAGCCTCGCACCTGGGAATCGTGCTTAGCTGGGCAAAATGCGATAGGGCTCTATCAGCCAGTGCAGGCTGGCTCCCGACGGGGCTAATAGCCACTGGCTTAACGAGCAGGAGCCAGGACTGCTCTGCTGGGCCCTTTCCAGCCACAGGGAGGGGCGACGGGGAGAGCAGAGCCCAGCCGGCTTTGCAGCGGGCAGGGAAATCTAGGTCAGGGCTTGCTTTAAAAGGGGGCACGGAGCCCAGATCGCGTTGGCTTCCAAGCGAAGCCACAGAGCAGCGGCGCCTGCCCGAGCCCGGCGCGGACGCGGTGAACCAGCGGCCGGGAAACGTCGATGCTCACCCGGAGCATCCCTGTCCTGGGAGCTGCGGTGGCCGAGGACACCCATGGGTGCCACTTCCCGCCCGCGTGGCCGTTCACGGAATTCCTTGTTTTGCTGGAAAACAGCTGTGATTCGTAACTCGGTCTCTGCCAGGGCTGGAAAACAACATGCTGCCCGGGGACGTGCGCTTTCCAGAGACACGGAACGATGCCCAGGCGCAGGGAGATGCCGCTCGCCTCCCAAACGAGATGTCCCCCCCTCCTTGTCAAAGCTGGCCCTTTCCCTCCCCTCCGCCTCCGCACGGCTGGAAGGGGATCAGCGAAGGGAACCGGCCCCAGGCCTGACATTTCAGCATTCGCCAGCAAATGGCAAAAAAAAAAAGCCCCAACCAAGCAAAAAGCCCAGTGGCAGCAAAAGGGGAACTCGGGGGAGCGTGGAGGGTGCGAAGCGGCGGCTGCCAGGGTGAGCGAATGCCTCTGCAGACAGTGCAGACATTTTGCTCCCAAATTACTGCCCAGCCCCGGCAGAGCCGCAGCGGTTTCGAATTAAAGCAATGATCCTCCACAAAGAGAATTTTTTATTATTTTTTTCCCCCGCCCCAAATGCAGGATTGCTTTCCGCTTCCCAACACCCTACAAGGGCTTGGGATGGGGAATAATTAAGTTGGCAGCATGATGCATTTAATTAAAAGCCAGCACTTGAAGGTAAGAGTGAAATTAGCCGTTGGAGCAGTGGATCTTTGGAGGGCGATCCTCCACGTCCCCACGAGGCACAGCCTGATCCCTGGCCGCGCAGCGAGGCTGGATTTGGCAGCGGGGTTTCGTGCCTGGCAGAGCTGGCAGAGGCCACCGCAGCTCCCTGCGAGCTGCAGCCCTCCTGTCTCCTCCTGCTGCAGCCACCTCTCGGGGCCAGATTTTCAGGAATCCGGGCTCTGGTAAGCCTGGAAAAATCCAGATTTTTCACATGGGCTCAGCGTTCAGCCACTCCCTGGATTTCCACTGAGCTCAGCTTTGAAATGGGACCTGTGATGCAGCTCCAAACTTCACAATAACCACCCCCCCACCAAAAAAAACCCCCCAAAATAAAAAGCTGAGCTGTTGAAATGCTCCCCGTCCTTTCCAGGACAAGCAGACACACAGCGTGGATGGCAGTGATGGGCCGTGATGCAGAAAGGGCATTTCCAGGAGCGCTGGCGAGTGTGAACTGCAAGCCCTCCGCTCTGGGCGGCTGAAGCGTGCTGTTGGAAGGGGCTCTGAAAAATTCATGCCCATTTCCCCATTTATATTCGCTTCCCTTTTCACTCTTGTCCTGGGCAAGGCGAAGTGACCAGAGTGAAAAAGGCTCTGAAAACGAAAGTAGCTGGAAACAAGACTCCAACCCAGTGGGGTTTTCAATGAAGTGGGTTGTAAAATTGATGGAAGCGGAGCAGCCCAGGACTTCCCTGCACCCTGACGCGCTTCGCAAAACCAAGGCAGAGACGGAGCCGGCACTGCTGGGGGAGTTTCAGCTCCCGCTTCGCTTCCAGCCCCTCCAAAACGAAGGGCAGGTTTGTCGCCGGGGGCCGAGCTCTGCCTGCCCGCAGCGGGGAAGGGCGAAACCTCCTTCTCCTGCTATCGCTTCCCCCTTTTTGGTGCCAGCTGCGGGCCAAAAAACTGATTTTTGAGGCACATCTGGAAGCGGGCGATGACCCCCGGTCCCCGTGGCCGGGCAACCGGGGGTGGCCTGGGGGTGCTGGGGAAAGCCCCGGGCACCCGCAGCCGCCTTCCGACCGAGGCGGGAGCCCCAAAACCAGCCGAGGCCGACGGGTGAGGAGGGCGGAAAGGCCGCGCGGTTCACGATCACGGTGAATTATCGGCGTTAATTAACGAGCTCGGCGGGAGAAGGCCGACAGCTCCCGCCCGGCCCAGGGGTTACCGGACCCCTCAGCCGGGGCTGGCCGGTGGAACCGGTCCGGGCCCGCCAGGCCCGTGCTGGTGCTGCCCCCTTCCCTCCGCTCGGGCGAACGGCACCGCCGACCCCCGGTACGTGCGTGAGGGCTCCCGCCCCCATGACGTCACCCCCGCCTTGCCGCCCTTTCCGGGAAGCGGCGGCGGCGGCGGGAGGAGGAGGAAGAAGAAGAAACATGGCTCCGTCGCCATGGCGACGCGGCGGGTGACGCACTCTCCCCGCGACCCTCCCCGGAAGCGGGTTGGGCTGGGCGGCGCGGCGCTGATTGCGTCACGGGAGGGGGGCGGGGAGAAAGGGTAACGGCGGCTGGACGGGCCTGAGGTGCCGCCATGGAGAGCGCGAACCAGGGTAGGGGCGAGTCTTCGCTCCAGACCCCGGGGATGGGTCGTCGGGCTCCGGTCGCCTTGTGGCCGGGGGAACCCGGGGACTTGGGGGGTGGTGGTGGGAGGCGGCCCGGGGTGCTGCCGTGCGGGGTGGGCCTAGCTGGGGGCAGCGGGGCCAGGGCCCCGCGGGGGGGGGCGGGGGGCTGGTGTGTCCCGCCCCCCCCCCCCACCCCCCAGCCTGGGGTTTGTGGCTCGCCTGGGCTCTTGTGGGTATCGATCAGGCGGTGCTGGGCCGAGGAGGGTTTTTGGAGGGGCAGAGCTCGGTGCTTCTGTGGCTTGTGATAGATGTTCACGGAGGAAACTCCGCTGGAGGTTTCTCTTCCTCTTTCCGTGAAGCCCCTCGCCTCTTCTTTCCCGTCAGACTGCCCAGGTTTGCATAACGCGCTTCGCTTGCTGGCTGCTTATGCTTTCTGCCCTTCTGCTCCTTGTCTGTGACAGATATCAACCTTAACTCTCCCAACAAAGGTCTGCTGTCGGATGCCATGACAGATGTTCCCGTGGATAGCGCGGCTGCGGCCAGGACCTCTGCGCCCGAAGGGCTGACTCTTGCTGAAGAGGAGGAGTTGAGATCCGAGCTCGCCAAGGTAACGGGGCACCCCAGGTTTTGTCAGTGGGGGCCGTGTGTGGCCGTAGCTGCTTTCTGCTGGGAAGGAACAAACAGGAGCAGGACTCGGGGTTGTGGTTTGTTGTTTTTTTGTGTTTTTTTTTTTTAATTTTGCAGTGGTGTTACCTTTGGACCTCTCAGCCAATTGTTAAAACGCACAAAGCTGGCAGGTACTTCAAACGCTGCGGTATGTTTCGTGCTCTTTCCCAGAGCGACTTAATTTAGAGCTCTAAGGAAATAAGTGGCTTTTGATGCTGTGAGCTCAATCTAGGCTTTTAGCCCCGTTTGAAGCGGGAAAATGCTTTAGGCAAGTGGTGTGTGAAAGAAACTCATTTTTGCTTAGGAAGCTGAAATAACGAGCGCTTGATGTGCTTTCTTTTTCTACCTTTTTCTCTTAAATATTTATCACACTTTAGGCGACTATTTTTAGTGCCTATATGCTTTTGAAGAGCTGAGAGTTTGTAATGTAGTATCCTAAATTTTGGGCACCTTTGGGGGTTTAAAGGTCACTTTATCATTTCTATCTGAAATGTAGCTGAAGGTAATTGCAGCTGTTCTTCTGTAGTCCTTTCTTTCATTTGAGAGTCTCGTGGTGGTTCTTTGACTTGCAAGTTTTAGCAAGGGAGGACTTTGCTGTTCTGGGTGGTCACAGAGATCTTGGTGAGCTGCAGTTAAAGCAGAAATGAACCCTCTCTGCCTGGAAAGAACTCCTCAGTACTTTGAAAATGTTGTAAGAAAGATCTCTGAGGAAAAACTCTTTGCTTTAATGACATCAGAAGAAAAGAATCATAAACTAGAAGCCTTAGTCAATAAGGGTTAGCAACTGATTTTTATCTGCTGTTGAAATTACAATGCTAGAAATGAGTTCTGTTAATCTTGGTGCCATTAAGTCACCAGTATGCTGAGTTGTATGGATGTTTTCCCAATTGAAGTCTGAGCTGTAGGCCTCCCGTTCCAGCAACATTCGTGTTGAGTTGAATTGTTCTGCATGTACATAAAGTTCCTACCTATTCTTTATGTTACCAAAATCTTGCTAGTTTTGAGGAAGGTAGAAAGTTGGCTTAATTTTCAGAATTTTACTAAACCGTCATTCAAGACAAACCTCTGCCTCTCTCTAAGGTTGAAGAAGAAATTGGTACTCTCAGGCAAGTTCTGGCTGCTAAAGAGAGGCACTGTGGAGAGCTGAAGAGGAAGCTAGGTTTGACTCCCTTGGATGGGTTAAAGCAAAACCTGTCTAAAAGCTGGCACGATGTCCAAGTCTCCAATGCGTAAGTGTTGCTTGTGATGCACGTTTATTTAAATATGAGTCTGTAGTAATTATTTCCCAGCAGCATATTCCAGGGCACTTCCAAGTGGCTGGAGGCTTTTGCTCTGATGGGTATAAAGAGTAAAAGGCGCTTGAAAAAATTAAAAAAAAAAAAAATAAAAAAAATCATTGCTCTTATATGTTAGTGTACACAGAACTTTCCTATCTGTGATCTGAATAAATTGTTGCTGGATGCTTTTTCCCGTGATGTTAGAGATCTAGATCGCCACTTAACTGTTCAGTTTGCCCATTTCTGCCCGTTCTTTGAGGTGTAAGCTCCTGCTACCTCGTTCTGAACTCAGGCTCAGAGAAGCGCAAAAGGCTTCGAGAAGTGCCTGCACTTCCTAGGAAAATGTTCTGTAATATTAGCGTGCATTACGCATAGTCATCTCTGCCTAAAGAAGATCTGAAATTAGACTGACTGTTCCTGAACAGGCATTAAAGGTATGGTCACTGCAGTGCTTAACAGTGCCAAAAGGAAAGTCAAAGAGGTAAGTCTGACCCTGCAGTTGTGCCTGGATGTAAAGGGCTCTCGGTGCCCATAGAGATAGAGATACTGTTCGGTCTAAAAAGTCTTGGGTAACTTAACTGGAATTTGGAATTACTGACAGTGCTACTGCAGAGCAGATTGTTGAGCTGTTCATCTCACTGTTTATTCTTTCCCTTTTCCTCATCTTCCCTCCTGCATCGCTGCCCGATTTCTATTATTCCTTTGTAACTGAAATCTGTGTCATTGTCTTCTAAAAAATGAATATTAAAGGTTATATTCATTAACACTTTCTGTTTCTAGTTATGTGAAAACATCTGAGAAACTTGGAGAGTGGAATGACAAAGTGACACAGTCTGACTTGTGAGTGCCTCGGGCTCCTCAGCAACACCTCCTTGCTGCATTCCCTGATTTGTGCTGCTACTTGTTCTCACAGGCATTAGGGGTTGATTGGGAGCTGGAGGCATGGGGAAGCAGGGCTGTTATTAGCAGCATGCCTGGCTTCTTCCAGCTATAAGCATCCCTCAGTTGCAGAGGAGATGAGTAAACATTACTGCTTTCGTCTCTCTCATAATCTTGTTATTGCAGAAGAAAAATTCCAATCAGTTACCAGACCACATTTTATTAAAAAAAAAAAAAGCAAAAAATCAACCACAGTTTCCCTTTAGCTGGTCGTTGGTAGGTTACTCTGTTGTTATCGAATGTCTTATTAGTGAACCTCTGTCTTTACTGTGAAACTATTTCTCTTCTCATCATCAGATGTGGTAGGAATCAGTTTGATTATTGTCTTTCTGTACTGGGAGAGAAGGTGCCTGAAGGCATTTACCTGTAGCTGGAAGTAGGGGCTGTGCAAATGCAAATACATACATCAGCTTTTGAAAGTCGCCTGGCTCTTTTCTGTTGATGTATGTGAACCTTTTTGCCGATGTCAGCGCTAGAATGCCATGACTTTTAGTCTTTGCAGTATATATGAGCAGGTGACAAATGCAGACAAAGAACATCTGGCTGCTTTTGTCTCTAGAATATATTCTTTAATTATATTAGACCTCCATTCATATTAGACATGAGTCATTTTGATTTCCTGCTGCATAGCTGAATGTAAGGGAGCCCTTGAATGTGTTCTGCACTGAAGATTCTCTCCCTTCTGTCTTGTGTGGAAGGAGGTGATTATTCAGCTAAGAGGAAAATGTGGATTGGGAGCATCCTGTCATTAGGCAAGATGGCACTGATCTAATTGGGGACAGTTACACTTCTGGGTGACGTGGACTGCCTGTGATCTGTCACCTGCTCTGAGCACTTCTGCGTGTTGTCTGAGCTGGTAGCAGACACTTCCTGTAGTATTTGTTCTGTACTTCCAGTGTTAATTCTCACAACCCCTAAGGTACTGTTTTGTATGTAGAGAAACGTGATTTATAAAGATTAGAAAATGAAACTAAGTTTAACGGTTTGTTCACATCATGCTATATTGGTAAAATACAGCTTTAGGCGTGGCAGTCAGATTTTTTTGGCCTCGCTCAGTTCACTGCTCTGTGCTTTTAAAACATAGGTGCCACGCAGTGTGTAGGAAGGGAGCGGAAAGTCTTTCGATTCCTGACACCTTCTAAACTGCAGACTTTGTTTCTTCATGCTCAGTGTTTGAATGTGCTTAATTAAGAAAGAAACTGGGGCTTAGGTGTCTCCCTGCCTCTCAAACAACAGCTCTTTTCCTTCTGGCTGTGACAGAGAAGGGGGGAAGCTATTGTCAGAGAAATAAAGCCTATGATACTCTTACGTGTAAAGAGACACTAATAATGTGGAAAGTGTCAAAAGAAACATCTGTCATGAATCTTGGCACCGTATCTAACCTCCATTGTGTTTGTAGATATCTTTCAGCCAGCAGCACACTGGAGGACTGGAATGAAAAATTAACTCAATCAGAAGCGTGAGTGTCTTAACCTTCGGTGTTAACAAATGCTTTCATGACAGTCTTCTGCCACTAATGTCCTGTGCCCCTGCTCACAGTCCTCTGCTTTGACTAGATCTATTTAAACATTTATCTTTTCTAGCTTTCACTCTTTTAACCCAATAAATGCCTCTTCTGGGAGAGGAAGCTTTTCCTCAGGTCAGTATTTGATTTTGTTGTGGTCCAAGTGATACTCTTCAAATGCCTGCCTGCTCTCAGAGGAGAACTGGCTGAAACCACTGGGTAGCTGAGACCTATGCGCCACGCATTGTAGCTTCAGCTGACAAGCTGTGGAATAGCCAGACTGATCTCCTCATGTTACCCTCAACGTGCTCTGCAGGGAGCAGGAGCTTTTCTTTCTGCTGTGGTACCTGATGAGAACAAATAGAGCTGTAGTGTCCAAGGCAGTTGTTCTGTTATGTTGGGACCCCAAATGGACTTAACAGCTTAAACCTCATGGTTGTACTCTAGTTGTTGGCTGCGAAGGTCTCTTAGCCATGTTTTTATTAAATGCCTGAAATTAAATTCTCATCTGGACTAAATTAAGGAAGCATATTGTGGAAGTTGGCCTTTGTCCTTCTCACTGCATCTTTCCCACAGTATATAGGGGAATCCTTTACAGTGATGCAGTGGGAGCAGGTACGTAGTGTCATTGTTTTCTGAACTGATTTAAACCATGGTGAGGTAGGTCTTAGGTAATCCAGCTTTTCCTGTTCTCTGGATTGGAAATGAAATTCAGTCCTTTCAGCTAGCTTGTTATTGGCAGTGTGTGTGAATAGAAGGTTTTCTTCATAAGGCAGGTGAAAGATGAGCAGAGATAAAAAGTAGGAGTTTTGGAAAAAACTTCCAAGTATGCAGGTCTGCTTTCAGTGTTCCATATATGTTTGCTAGATTAAGATAATGTAAATTGTCATTATTTCACTTGCTAAATAGAATGACCGTGGTGTTTATGCTTGCTGACAGTATGACTGACTCCAGCAGCGTTTAATCAGAGTTCCTCCCTGGGTGTGCCTGCTAGAATAGAAAACTTCTCGTTATATCTGTTTCCTTGTACTTAATAAGCACCAGAAATGTGGCGGAAGCGTGCTTTTGTATAGCACTTGAGGCCTGAGTAGCTGTGGCATGCTAGTTTTCCCGCTTGCTTTGGCACCAGACAGTGACAATTCATGTTAGCAAGGTAGATGCTGATTAAAATGGAGGGGCGAGGGGGATTGAAAGGTAAGATTCCAGCAATGTTTCAGAAAACAAACAGAATTTCTGCTTCCTTTGTGTAACACTCAGTAAGTGTGAAGAGTCAAGTTGAAGAAATCCAAGGATGAGGTTTTATTCATATGTTTTGGGGTTTTTATGCAAATGCGTCCTCTTTGCTGTTTCAGAGCTTCTCTGCATTATAACTAACAAGCATCCTGACTGAACTGGGAATGGGCCTAACTTGTGACCTTATAGTGCTTCTGTGCACTGCTGAATTTCCTGGTAATTGCCATTCCTGACAAGAGACTTGCCCTCTGCAAGCAGTACATAGACAGGACAGAAATCAGCCCAATCTGTCTCTAGCTCCGGTTTCATTGTAACCAGGATGCACTGTGACTTAGATGGTTTGTGTACTTGGCCAGACAGCACAAACAGTGATTGCTGGATAAAGGCAAGTGAGATGAAGCTGGTATTAATGGATAAAGGAGAATTTGAGGGTGCAGGTCTGGGTCTTCCCTGTCAGGGTTTATAGGAGAGGATGCAATGAAATGTTTGAATGCTACAGGATGAACACCACAGGGCAGAGATAATTTCTGCAGCTTCTGCTGCAGCCAGTTGCCTGTTAGTAGAGCAAGGTATTAATCAGAGCTCATATTTATTATTCCCAGATTTTGATTATGCTATTGTGCTTTGTACTGGCGCTAAGGGAAGAAGGTGAGTGAGTGTCAATTTATAGCCATGGTAAACTTGGCCGTGTCACTTGCAGGAGAGTAGTTGCGACTTCTAGGTCAGGGCTGGCCATAGTTAAGTTGCATTAAAGTCTTGTATAACCTGATCCGTGGTTGTCACAGATGCAGTTCCACATGTGTGTCTGATGGCAGTTCTGGGTTAAAGAGCTTCTCATCTCAGCTGTACTTTCCTGGCTCTGCCTCCTGCGTTGCAGCGGTGGAGCTGTGTACGTGTGTGGGGGAGCTGTGGATGCAGGACTAGACTGGCGATCTGATCTGGCTGCTGCTGTCTTTTTTGTTCTTCCAAGTTTATATTTTAGCCAGATTGTTTCCTTGATCTAGATTACTGTGTCAGCACAAACAGTTGTTCTGGCATCATGGAGGAGCACACTCAGGCAGAAGGAGCAGCACTTGAGTGCTAGATCTTTGGTTATCTTAAGAATACTGCTGTCAAATGTGGAAAATATAGTTGGGAAATCCTCTGGCCTTTATCTGCTGAAGATAGACATAATACCTGGGAGTCTGCAGTGTGCATGGCATGATGGTGTCCTTTGAGTCTGTTAACCATTCCTGTCATTGCTGCTGTGGTGTTCAGTGCTGATCTCTGAGAGTTGAGTGCCAAGTAGACGTAGAGTCAGCACAACATACTTGGGTAAGCATGGGATCTTCAATGTTTCTGTTAGGCAGCTGTAAATCAAATCCCATGACAGGACTCAGTCAGCCAAGGAAGACCCTGACTGCTGAAGGCAGGGATTGAGATCCTTCTCTTCCAAAGCAGCTTTGTCCCTAGGGTTCAAACACAGTTACTGCGATAGGAAGGCATGTGTGTGAGCAAGCAGCACTGATGCTGGCCAATTCACTCCTAAATTGTCCTGAGGTGACTGCTTCTTGCAAAAGATTGTGCTGTGGAGAAACAGTATTGAGGCCTTGCTGTTGGGGCACACTCAGATTCCTTTGGAGTCACAAAATTCTAGAGGAATTGATCTGAAAAATGTGTAGGTTATAGGAATTTTCTTTGCGGGATGAGGGAAGGTAAAGCTGATGTGGTTTTGCCCTGTTCTGCATAAGTCTTGTGTACACTCTTGATTCAGAAATACTTGGCTGTGGTCTTAAACAAAAAAACCCCAATAAACCAACGCATAATTCAGATGCTGTGGTGCTGTCTTACGCACTTCTGTCTGTAGAGAGAGAGATGTAATTAAGTCGGCTGTCATCATGGTGCTTCTAGCCTTGGGATCTCAGGCATGAGAGAACATTAGGCTGTTTATAATGCCCCTCTCCTAAATATCCTAGTCAGGCAAAAAAATAATCTCAAGCTGAAATATTTGGAGTAAGAAAACTTGGCTTAAATTGTTGAACTTGTTTTCCAGCCTGAGTTTTTTTTGGTTTTTGGGGTTTTTTTTTTGTAATTTGAAGAATGCCATAAATCTAGATGTTAACTACCAACCATGGAATAGCTTAGAGAGGATGAGTTAATGAAAGTGGCTCAGAGAATCATTGTTCCTGAGATTAGTCTCATCTGAAGGAAACAAAGGTTCTCAAGTGTCTGTCTTCTCCAGCTCTGGTATAAACTCAGATGTAATCAGCTGACAAAATACATGCTGTCAGACTTCTTATGTATTGTGGTTAATGGTAACTGATAGGAAACTTCTCTACCAATTTATTTCTAAACCGCAGTTGTAGAGATAATGCTGATTCCCGCATTTCTTTTCTATAGAGTGGTGTTAGTCTTGCCTCTTTCCCCCATAACCTAACGCTACAACAAATGCTTTATCTTCTTCAAGGCTGCAAGCATATTATGGAATAGGTTCCTAGGCTTACTTTCTCAAGGAGACCAAAAGATAGTTGTAGAGCAAACAGGATACGATGCTGTGGTATTAAGAGTTTCCACATGGAAAATTGGGTGGTTTGGGGTTTGTTTTGGTTGTTTTTTTGTTGTTGGTGGTTTTTTTTGCAAATGTTTGTCAGATTTAAGATCGCATGGTCAAAATGGTAAAGTGAGTGTATGGAAAGGTTAATCCTACACTTGCTGTTTTTTGAAAACTCCCAGTCTTTGAATATATGCAAGACTGGAAGGGGCTCTTTCAGTGAAGTCAGGGCAGCTCACTAACCTAGCTTCTTTCCTTTAATATGGGTTCCTTTTTCAAAATGGGGGGGGGTGCTTCTTGCTTTCAGATCCGACCTGTTCAATTTATGGTGTTTTTTTCTATTTAGTTATAAGAAGACCCAGGAAACCCTTTCCCAGGCAGGACAGAAGACTTCAGCAGCGCTTTCCAATGTAGGTTCTGTTATCAGCAGGAAACTTGGTGACATGAGGTAAGATTTCTGTTTTGCTCTCTGGTGCTTTGATCTTGGTTTCAAACAGTAATGAGACTTTGGACAATAACTAGGCTCTTTTCCATTTTCTGCTTAGTCGGCAGCACATTGCTGTTGATAGGCTACCCTCTTCTGTGTGGCCCTGTACATTGTAATTTAGGACAGATTAAACACTTATTAGAGACTTGTTGATGGGATAAAACCTGTTCTAAGGCATTTAAGTTTGATTTGGCTTAGGGGAACTGGCAGAACGTTTTTAGCAGCCTCCCCCCTTTTACTGTCATATGGTTTCACTGCAGCTTTTACATCATAAGTAAGAAACTAGTATTAAAGTTTACCTTCTCCGTTCATTACTGGATTATACAGGTGTGCCTTCTCAGTGTTACTGCTAAGGATTAGAAAGGGGTCATCACTCCTGTGCTCTGTTATGCTTTAAAATGGGGTAAAGTCTGGATGCTGCATTTCGTGCAGTTTCAAGCCCTGTGTGTCGACTTTCTGTAGAGAAGGGCAGTATGCCTTCCAGGCACAGTTATGTCGCGTTGATTGGAAGATATGAATTGGTTCAGAAGATCATGACAACATTAAAAATTCCTTCTTGTTAGTGGTGGTTATCTAGATTCCTGAAGCAGATGACTGCTGAAGTAGTTGCAAATTTAAACCTCTCTGAATTGGAAAGTGGAGGGCTCGTTCCCTTGGTTGCTGGCTGAGGTTCTTGCTCTGTGAGTTTCTCAGCTGTACAAAATTAAAGGCTAGAATTGGTGATTTACTCGCTCTTCAGAAATTTAAGCTAAAGATTGCTTCTCCATTAATGGTGACATCCAAGTTTTTCATGCAGAATACCTTGACCATGTTTTTCTTGGAATTGAGAGCTAATTCTGAATATACAACCTGTCTAGGCTACTAAGGAAGTATTCTTAGAGCTTGTATTTAACATGATTTATCAGACCTTGGATTGAATGGGTAGCTGTCATTCTTTGTAGGGAATTTCCTATTCCACTGTGGCTGGGAGTATCCAAGTGGTAAGAACTTGTTGGCCTCTGATCACATAGTACTGATTTATTCTAGTTCTATCCTCAGTGAGTTATTTACTGTGTTCCTGGAGGGTGATTTTTGGTGTTTTCAGTAGCTCACTTCTCTGAACTTGGTGGAGGACTAGCTGGCTTCCTACCCTTTCCAGTATTCAAGTTTTAACTTTTCTTTGCTGGAAACTACCTAGTCTGCTGGAAGAAGAGATTTACGTGTAATCACAGCAGATTACAGATACTGGCGCAACATGTGGTGGTAACACATTTTGCTAAACCGATAAGTAAATTTGGTGCCTGACTTAGGCAGTCTGGCCAGGCTGTTGTGGCAAAGGGATGGGAACTGTGGTTTTTGGACCAAATGGGGAACTCCTGAACCAATGTTGCCACCAGAAGAAGCTGTTTTGGCAGGCTTGGTCCTGCCTGTTGTCTTTTGGTTGGGAGAATCCAGTTCACCATGCAGCTGCAGAAATGTTTGTGCCATCCCAGGAACAGATGATGGAGGGAGGGGATGCATGGCCAAGTGAAGAGTGCGCCTGTTACTCCTGGTGACAGAGCTGGCCTGACGTAGTCGTAGTGAAAATGGGCTGTGTAGTCTGCTGGCCTGCAAACAAGTTAGACCTTTGCAGCAATGGTGTTGCTCAGCATTAATCACCAACTTAAACACCTGCATTCCTTTTTATAGCTAATACTTTGGGTGATGTATTATGAAATACAGGCAGCTTCTGTCTTGTCACCTGGGAATCCTGGCCAAAATTATTTCAGCAGTATTTGCTTTGTATATGTGGCCCTGTGGGGGAACACAGTAATGATTTTTTTAAGACTTTCAGTTTTTCTGTGTGTATATAAACAGAATTCTGTCTCCTGTGCTGCATTCACGTCTTGATATTTCTGATTCTGAATAAGGTTTAACTCTGAGCATAAGTTTCTGCAGGAACTGTCCCACTTTCCACCCTTGCCAGGTGAAACTGTGAATGGTGATCTCTGATATGTGATCAGAGCTGACGAGGAGTGAAGTCTGTTGTAGTGTTGTGATCACTTCTCTGAATGGGTGGGGATGATCTCTGTTCCCAGAGAACCTCTGTTACAGGCCTCATAGCCTACACTGCAACCTCCATTACCGTACTTTCTTTTTTTCCTTTTACACTACAAATTCACTTGTAAAGCAGGTTTATTTTCCATCACTGGAAGTGTTGAGATAACAGAAGGGATTTCCGTGTTTAGTCAGCCTTCACCGGTTGATAAATGCAAGGAAGGCATGATGAATGGGACAAACGCCTCCGATAGACGGAGGGCGTAGTCGTAATTCCATTAAAAATACTTGGACCAAAATGCTATGAAATACAAGTAATGTGTCCCTGGGTTAAATCTTTAGGGTTGCTGTATTCTGGTCAAAATAATTTTAAATGTTATAGCTGTGCATTGTAAGGAGACATGGTGAAGTTAATGCGGTAACTGTGTGCTAACTGTATTAATGCTGTTGCTCTATTAGCTTGCCTTGAGGGGAGAAAATGTAGCTTAATTAGTGGGTGGGATTTTTTCAAATCTTGGCCAATTCAGCTTTTTCTGTTATCTCCACTTACAGTTAAAAAGTAAATTGGCTTTTAGATGTTCTGTTCCTGCATTTTACTGACTCCAGTAAACTGCAAAATTGAAAGTGTTTTCTTTTTGTTGATAACAGCTTGCTTTGTGGTTTTGTGTCCCCCAATACACTTCATGTTGTCTGATGAAGGTTGCTGCTGTACATAATACTACAAGCAAATTCATTATGAAATGTTAGCCCGAGCCCCAAAGGTGCTTGCAAATTCCTGAATTTATGTAAACTTTAAATCCATATGAGAGGAGGAAAAGAGTTACTGCTAGGTCCAGGCCAAGATACTGAACAAATGAACCAGTGCTTGTGGTATTGCATACAGAGTAGCATGGTGCATGGACATGTGTTATCTGTGCTCTTCTCCTTTAAGCAAGAGTAAGTAGAAAGTTAATTTATTTCACATGCAAAGACAGCATTTCAAGGAGTCTGCCCTGCCAAAGAGCTGACTTGGATGCATGGGGAAATGAAACCACAAAGCCTAACGTCTTCGCTCTGGCTGTAAGGAAAAGCCCTTGTACTCCTTGCCAAGTACTTCAGATCCTGCTTGCTGTGACTGTTTCCTGCTGCAAAGACAAAAATTATACTGAAGTGGAATAGAGCACTGCTTCTGGTCAGAGAAGTTCCTTTAGAGCATCCTGGTAATCTTACTAGTAGAAGTAGGAAACCTTGGTCTGTTATTTCAGACTACTGAGGTGCTACTGCATTGCAAAATCACACATGGAAATCTGGTAACCTGGTGGGGGATAGTTTGCCTTGAAACCTAAAAATGGGCAACCAGGTTATAGAGTAAACATGATACCTTTTATCCAGATACTCTTATCTTTATTATGCTGAGATGTTTTGTTCTCTGAGCTGTAACTTTGAGATCTGCAGGTTTGGCAAGATAGTGTGCAGGTATCCATTGCATGTTCCTATTACAGAAGTTTTCAGCCAGAAGTCCGAGCAATGCTGTCTTTGTATGAGAGCTCGTGGGGGGAAATGAGGGAAGGAATTGTCTTTACCAAATTAGGTAGTGCTTGGTAAAACCCTCAGTTTAGGAAAACATACTCTAGAAAAACAAAATCAGATGAAAGCAATGGATAGGGGTAGGTAAAATGTTTTAGTTTGTTGTTGCACACCCACTCCTTTCCCTCCCCAGCACCCTGGTTCTAAGTTGCTGTAGGTGCTGTTATTGTTCTCTGAAAAATGTCTTAGCTTGGCTTGAGTTAATGAAAAGCAATTGATTTTTGCTTGCTTCTGTAATTTATTTTGAGAGGCTTCCTCCTGGGCAGTTGACTTTGCTGTCCCATGATCCTATGACTATGTGCCTGCTTCGCTGCCCTGAATTTAGTGTTTAGATCTGCACAAGTATCTGACCATTGCTTCCCTTTTCTCTCTGCTGTCCGTGGCTTTTTCCAGGGCTCACCCCTTCTCGCATTCCTTTAGGTAAGACACTCTTCAAGGCTGCTAAAAGAGCATTTGTTTCTAGGCCAGCCCTTGCACATGTTAAAGGGGAAGCTGATTATTTAAGCCTTGCCTACCCTTTTGACACAGATTGAGAAACCTTCCACAAAGCAATGCCCTGTAATTGACTTTTGTATCACAGTTGCATTTTGCAGTTAATAGCAGTTAAATACTCGTGCTTACAGTCCTGTGTCTGGAAAACTAGTTTTGGGCTGCAGCTGTTAAATAAGGGAAGAGAGGGCTGGCTCTTACCGCTTTGGTTGTCCATAGCAGCCTGTGTGTGGACTGTAAGTGCTTAAGAACCAGGGGTATGCTGCTTTTGCATGGTATCAGTATAAAATTGTCATTTAACTTTTTCCTCCTTATTCTGAACGCTTCCGAGTAGCAGCTACTCCATTCGCCACTCGATAAGTATGCCAGCGATGAGGTAATGTAGCAAATACCCGTGTCTCCTGAGTGGGGTCGGTGGGAGAGCACAGCTGACTCTGTCATTACTGGGTTTTTTGTTCCGATTTGTACAACTGGTTCCCTTCTTAAGCAGACCCTACGCAGAGTATGGGTTAACCACGTCCTGCAGTTTGAGTAATTCAGGGTGGTTTTTTTTACCCAATCTCTTTTTATGGTTATTAGCACCTGTGTTGTTCTTGGACTAAGTGCAGTGTTGCAACTGTACCAAAGTCTAATTGAAATTTGCAGCTTTCAGAGGTCCCTGAAGGGCAGGGATTACAGTCCTCCTCTCGCAATGTACAGCATGGCCATTGCTAATACCGAGATGAATCCTAACTTGAACCCTCTGTCTCCAGTCTGGAAGCTCAGTGCCCTGCCCAGCGTGCCTTAATGGTGCATTAGGTGGTGATCCCCTTGCAGGAGAAACAACTGCCAGGGCTGGACGAGATCCACAGAAGCCCCCTCTCTGTTCATCCTTGTTCCAGATTGACGGAGGTTATTTTATGGGCGCAAATATAAAGCGATTCTTTGGAACGAAAATAACTGAGATGAGACTAGTCATCTCCCAGCTCCCAGTGCTCCCACAGCCTAGCCCGGGGAGAGCAGCTCTGTATGAGTAATTGCCTGGTCTGCATGCTCGGTACAGAGCACTCCCCTGGAATCGTTCGCCAGCAAAGCAGCTTGTCAGGTTATCAAACAATTGATGTGGTTTTCTTGCTAGAAATATGAAATCCTCTGATTAATTTGTTGCACTGCGTTTATGAGCATTTCCTGATGCAGATGATCACTCCTGTAGCAGTAAAGCTACCCATAGGTACAGGCATGTGGCCCTTTGCCTTCCTGCCTGTGGGATGTGATATGGGAAACTGAAGCCTTTGTTTTAAACCCTTTTCAGCTTTTCCTTTCCATTATTTAAGACGGCGTGCTTTTAGTTGGAAGCCTTGTAAAACTAAGAGCTAGTTTCTTCTCTACTTACCACGCATTGATTCCCTAGTGAACTAGGACTTGTTTCCCTCAACATTTTAGCTTGAGCAATTGAGTGGATTGTACATGGTATAAATGTTTTCCTTCAGAGTTTGTATGTAATGTTCTTGTCTGGTGTGCCTGAGAGATTTGTGCCAAAGGCTGTGAGGAGCTGGAAGTGTTCTGGGTACTGCTGTCACTGCATGGGAATAGCCAGAGAGCCCAGTCACGCTGTGTGATTTGCTTTAGTTAAGAACTAACTTATCTTAATTTGTTCTTTGTTTTTTTTCCTCTCCTTTCTTCAAGGAATTCTGCAACCTTCAAGTCATTTGAAGATAGAGTTGGGACCATAAAGGTAACAGTCTGCTTTGTCTTGTAAACATATAGTGTGAAGCCTTATGCAGAAACTTTAATTTCTGCAATGTTTTTCTTGTAGACTAGTATTCGGGCAAATGGCCTCTCAGATATGTGAAGTCTTTGCTACAGTAGGTGACCTTGACAAGGGGGAATTGACTTGGTATTCTCAGTGCTGCTTTCTTGTTATCCTAACTCTCTTTTCTCCTTTCAGTCCAGAGTGGTGGGCAGCAGGGAAAATAGCACTGAAGGCCTCCACTCCCCCTCGGGAGCTGGAGACAAGCCTCCACAAGACAACGCTCCTTTCTAGACCTGCGATGTGGCTTTGCACGGCTGTGCACAACTGTAAGAGCAAGCCCCTGCCCTCCCAAGTCTTCACAACAGCAACAACATGCGAATCCAAGAAGGGGCTGAGAGCCAGTCTGGAGAGATCCATCATTCATTCATAGACACTGCTGCTGGATCCAAGTCAAATAAAGAGAATGCAAAGTTTTGTACACAAATAATATTTTACACTAAAGTTTGTAGATTAAATGTATCACTGCTGTCCTTTTGGGAGAGCATGTAAGATGGAGTTTCCTTAAAGCAGCTCAGAAATGCCACTGTTGCAGATGAGAACAGTTTTCCCTTGTCTGACATAACTTGGAACAGATACATTGCCCTGAGCAGTGTGAGGAGGGCAGCTACTGGAGAAGCCAAGTGCATGGGCTTCTTAGCTTCAGCTTCTGGCTATGTTCTCTGTTCAGGGCATGCCATGCAGCTACTCGGTGAGCTCCCAGGCTTCTCCCGTTACTGTTTTCGCTGGCTCTCATTGGAGCAGTCTTGTAAATGGGGTAAACAGTTGGGTTTTTTTCTGGGCTCCCAAAAGGAAAACTTCACTTAGCAGCTGCCTCGTTGTTACACTAATGCTCTAGCTTTAACAAAACTAAAAATCTTTATTTTTAAATGCAATGAACTTTAAAGAAATAAAGCTTAAAAAAAAAAAAAAAAGGAAGCTTCGGCATCATATTAGGGAAATGCTCCCTTGGACTCTGAAACTGAATTGCAAGCCTTACATCACCTTATGCTTTACTTGTTTATGATTTTTTTTTTTTCTATAGAGAAGACTGTAAGGGTTATAAAGCTGAATGTTGAGCACTGGAGTTTTGCATCATACAGTAGTAGCAGCATGCTTATAAGCCAGTTCTTGTGTTAAATTCAGTGGTGCACTCCATTTCCTGAGTGTATGAAACTTGCTTCTCCCTTCTCAGTTTATGCCTTCGTTCTTGGAGGAAGAATTTCTGAAGGCTGCTAGCAACAGGGCCAGATTAAAAAGGCCAAAGCTGTCTCTAGCAATACGGACACTATGTTGGAGGGACTCTGCTCTGTTCTCTGTGGGCTCCTCCATCTGGTACATCTGACTGTGACTGGATGGGTTTTTCAATTGAAAGCCCCAGCTCTAATCTTGGTTTACAAAACTGGCAGAGAATCACGGAGCTCAACCAGTTCCCCCAGGGGCTGGATGTTTTACTCTTTTGATGTCCAACTTCATTGCTCAGGAGCTGAAAAATTCCAAGTTTTCTTCTAGACGCCTGATCTTATTCTAGGCAAGGTGCCTCCACATAGAAATACCTAGAGTGAGCAGTTCTGTGCCTTGGAGGCGAAGTGGCACTTACTCAGGTCTTTAGACTTGCTTATGTACATATCTGGGTAGTTTTAGTGGTTTATCACCCTGGAGGGACTGATCCGTCTCTGACCCTTCTTTAGAGAAGCAAGTTTTGACACTTACCTGCTGATTAATCTCCGTTTCCCCCACCCCTGCTCCCCTCCCTCTGCAGACCTGGGGATGCGGGATGAAATATTAGAAGGCAGATGTACTAGGCAGTAGGTGGAGTGTAGAGTGTCATTTACTGGCACTCCTTGTTTGACTGAAACTGGCCTCCCTGTGAGGAACAGAGCCAGTGAAATGGGGACTGCTGGAGCTTGAGTATTGAACTGTTTCTCTATATGGATAAATAGTGAGGAAACTTGTCAATAAAGCGTTCCTTTGGGAGAAAATGGGGTGAATGTTCTTGTCTTTGTTCTGTCTAACAGCACTGGAGTCTGCTCTTGGGTGCGTGTTCTGAACTTGTCAGGCAAATACCAACTGCCTTCAGCAGCTTGAGGCGAGAAGCAACTCAAATATTCTGTTCTATCCTATCCCTCTGGCTTGTTTGTCCATTGGCTGTCCGGATGCTTTCTTGTGAAGGGATGTACTAAGTAATATTTACAGTCTGATGTTTCCTTTACAAGATGCCGAACACCAGCTGGTTCCCCAGACATACCTGTGCTCAACCAAGGGCTGGGGAGTCGCAAGCTCACGTTTATCCTCCAAGTACCATCACTTTGCTCCCTTCCCAACCGGTGCCGCAGGTGAACCAGACGTGCCTCGAGCTTCCTCACGCTGTTTTCCTGAGCTCGGAGCGTGGGACCGCAGTTACAGTGGTAACCTTGGCAGTGGGGGCTGAGGCTGGAGAAACTTGTAATGTGGAAAAGCAGCAGCTGTGGTGCTGGCTCGGATTTACGGTGTGATACCTCAGGGAATTGGTTTCTTGGAAGCTCTGGCTGTTGCTACTGATTTAAACAACATGGCGCAGGGGGATGAGTGACTGTATGGCTGGAGCTAGGAGCTGCTCTCTTAAATTTAAAAGGGCAGTGGAGAGCAGGCAAATAGGTTGTGAGAGAGGCCAGCAGAGCTCTGTAGCTGCTTGGTGTGCTGTGCTTTCAGAGGAAGGATGTCTGGCTAGGTTTGAAGCATCTGCTTGGTGGTGAGGGTTTGGCTTTGTGGGGTTTTGGGGTTGGTTTGTTTTGAATGTTGGGGTTTTTTTGCTACTGCACTTCTGTAGGTGAAACTACATCTCTGCAACTGGTCTGAGAGCAAAGGGGTTGGTATGATACCTGATGCTGGAGGAAAGATGCTGCAGGGAACCCCCCAGGCTGTGGAGCTGGGGCTGTGAGCTCCCCTGCAAGAGCCTCAGGGCCAGGGCGGGATGCTTTTCCATCTCCCTAGTCCCTTCCAGTGAGGGATCTTGGGTTTTTTGAAGGAAGGTTAATTAAGCCTTCCCTTCCTGGTTACAGGCTTGACAGTGGTTTTGTTAGTTCCCAGTTTCTAAGTGTGCTCCTGGCAGCTCTCATGGGTGCAAACCCCCAGTTTCCTTCGGGGCTGGCTGGGGACTGCAGTGTCCTGTGCAAAGGATGGGGGAACACAGCTTCCTTCCCTGCAAAAACCCGGGACCAGGAGCATATGAAGCCCCGGCAGCCTCGTGAGCACCTGCCTGCTCTGTTGTAACCGGGGGAGACGGCTTTGACAGCAATATTCCTTTTCTGTTCATCCCCTGCCAACAGCCTCGGAGGGCCAGAGCTGCTCAGAGGCGCTCAGGGGCAGCCGGTGTCCCTGGGTGGCTCTCCTGCTGCCTTGGAGCCTGGAGTGGGTTTGTCCTGCAGCTTTCCCAGAGTCACTTCTCTCTCCTCCCTCTTTCTCCTGTTGCTTCCCTTAAATGAAACATTCTGGTATTAAATCTATGCTAACTAGGCCAGCACATGAGACCCATCAGAGTTGGGATCTTTGCAGGCAGCAACAGAGGCAGCAACCAAAACAGCGTCTCTTTCCTGCTCCTCTGGTTTTACCGCATGATTTTCCTTTTCTTTCCTCATCACTGAGGACTTGCTGGGCCTCCTCCGACTGCTCCCATGTGTCGGGGGGGGGGGGGGGGGTCGCTGGGGGC